TATGGGGAGGCGACAATGTATTCTTAAGCCGTCGCCCCACGGCACAAGACCTTATCAAAGGGGCGGTGAAAAACTTGATGTTGAAAGCACTATATGGAAAGAAATGGAGTGCTTTGGAAGCAACATGCACTCAGCATTAGGTGGAAGGAGGTTAAGAGGGAAGTTGAATAGGATTTGACATACCCCTGTTAATTACTTTCTTGCCGACGGATGATTCTTCGACGGCGGCAAAACCGGTGTCCGCGCCATGGCTTGGTTTCTCGTCATAGGTCAATTTTCCTGTAAAAATAAACGAAATTGTGCCTAAAACAAAACCAAAACTGTTGTCCTAGATTGGCATAACTGATGCAGGTTCGAATTCAGTCAGATCGAAGGAATTTAACTTTGTGTTGATAAATTATTATTATTATTTTTTACAGTATCAAGTGACGGGACGAACAAGGCATGCGCCTGATTGTAAGTTACCCGCCTGTGCATAACGCTTGCAATGCCTCTCAGAGCTTTGAATCGCAAACATCTGCGGGGCACTGCCACTGCACCAGTCACCCTGAGACATAAGTTGACAAGTTCCACGTGCCTTGAATTTCACCACCTCAGTTACTCTTCAATGACGGAACACAGTAATACTGACATTACTGCTTGGTGGCAGAAATAGGTAAAGTGGTACTTTCCTGGACGAACTCTTTCAGAAGGAGATTTACTGCTACTCTATTGTATCAAACTAGCGAAGTAATATCACATAAAATAAGTGACTGTTGTGGTTTTAAAAAAAAATTTAGGTATAACCAAACCTGTAAATTGTTTTATGCGTTACGCTACCACTTTATTTGTAGACAAGACAGGATCTCAATACTGCAAACGTACTTGTACGTCGACGTACGTCGCATTTACGCCGCAGTTTGTTGCGTAAGTCTTATACGCAACAATGTAGGTATCATGTAAATAAATACGCATGTGGTAATCTATCTAAGTTGGGGGCCATCCATCCCTGGCAACTAATCAGACAAATGGGCTTTATATCACTTTTAAATATTAACTCTCGTTTGCGCTGAAAATAATCACCAATTAGAAAACTGAAATACAATACAATAGTACAACACCAACAAGTGGCCTGTGCGTACGTCTCCGTATATTCCAAAAATATTCTGTATTTATTGTAATAAAGATAATATCTCTAATAATGGGAGCTGTTCCGTTCGGTGGTGTGGTAAAAACAGCAAAACATCTAATTACGAAACAAACGGAATCACATTTTATCGGTAATTAAATATATAATATGTAATTTTTGCAATTTTCGTCCGTTATAACAAAGCTCAAGTTAAACTGGTCGATTTGAAGTGAAACAATTGACTACACCCGTCAATTGCTTCGAATTCGTGCTGGCCAATCGGAGCGCAGTTGTCACAGTAATGATTTGGCAGAATAGTTTTCAAACAAATTAAATGACATTTCGCCACTACTTCTGGTTATATACTCGATGCGTCACGGTTACAGCTCGCTAGCATAGTCGACCTTTTTGCAATTTGTATAAGTTGCAAACCGATGTATATACTTAGTTGAGTCGGAAGATATACCAGCCCTATTTCAAAAACAGACTATTGTTTATTTTACTTCCGATTAGGACCCTAACATTTTGCCTTTTCTGTAGAGATAAAACATTATCATATTTGTTTATTGAGGATATTATACAAGGTGAATTAGTGATGATTTACAATTAGATACGCTGCAGTGGCTATCTGCTTATTAATGAGATAAAAAATTAAAACACGTTAGGTAACAAATTATAACCAGATTTTAGTACTGAAATAAGTCGACTTAATCCTATCTAATTATAAAAAGTTATGTGTTATTTCATTGTGTTGACAGCTATTTTTCCAACTTCTTTGTGGTAAGATCCACAGATATGCATTATAGAAAGATAGAAAAAAGAAAAAAATCTATATCAAAAACATTTACACTTAAGACAATAATAAAATCACAAACCAAAAAACAAAAACTAGCTTACCACAAAATATTTACGTAGGTAAACATAAGTTTATGTTGACAATTACAATATTTATGTTGATAATATAACTATTACTACGTAGGTACCATAATAACAGAGATAATGTAATAAATAGTGACGTTAAAATTATTATAAAAAATAAAAATTTAAAGTTTGATTACACCATTATTGGAAATGAACAATCGCGAAAACCTAAGAACTCGGTATATACCATTATTATTATCGTAAATTTCTTCCGTACACTTATTTGTCATTTTGGGTTTTACCTGACGATAAAGCGCTTATTACTTTATGTCGCGATTATAAAGCTCATAGGATAGAATTATTATTACGTCAAAAATGTATGATAAATAGCACACAGCTCTATGCAATTATATTATATGAATTCGTGGTACGTGTTCTCAAATTAAGAACAGATATCACTGCAAACGTTATTATTTGCCCTTCTGTTGTTATGATAAAAAGCGCTATATTAAGTGTGTCTGATCGATCGATTTGTTAACGATGCCATACGTCAGAGAACTATAGTGACTGACATAGATCGCTAAATCAGTAAGCTTAAGTGGTAGCGCGCCGGACATGTCTGCAGGAGGACTGATGGGCGATAGAACAGACTTCTTCCAAAGTGGCGACCACGTCAAGGAAAACGTAGTGTAGGACGCACAAGATGGATGGACGATCTGACAAAGTTCGCCGCGCTTGGTGCTTTGTGATGTACAGCTATCATTGGTTCTGCAGCTGTGATGGACAGGCGTGTCGCCATCACCACCGGGCATACGAATTTTTCATCTCGCCACTTTTGGTTCCCACAAAGACTCAACTCCTAAAGACGAATCGATGGTCCGATATTTGTCTCACACAATAAAAAAATCGGTCAAAGTAGTCAACATTTGAGGGAAAATCTAAATACCGCGATGCAGAATTTAGATAAAACGGTTCAATGCCATCTACCGGATTTTTATGGAACTATACTATATACTATACTATTAGAGAAAAGTTTGTTGCACGCGTTACCCGGTACTACGTAAAATTACGCTCTTGGTTACCTATGTTCTAGATCAGAAGTTTGCAAACTTTTTTTGTCTGTTATAGAGTACATGCCATTTTTTTCTGATTTGCGTAGACCCCCTGCTTTTCTAACATTGATTTCTTTACAAATTTATAAACTTTAATGACAGCTGATTCAGTGAGGCGATGTACTAGTGAGAAACTTAAAAAAATTATGTTAAGTTCTATACATTTATCTAGCCGATATCATGTATCATGTTTTTTTTTTATTTATTCAGTCATGTTAGTTGAAAAAATGTACAAGAATTTTACAGAAAATTTTTATTAAGTCAGTTATGAGAAAGTAATATTATGTATTTTCATAGATATTGATCTGTGTAAGATGGATTATTCCATTGTGGATAGCCAAAATTTTGGTCACGACCTGCCTAAATGCGTTCCACTCTCGTGGATTTGATGCCTCATAATAAATAATAATAATAAATAATAAAATCTTTCTTTCTTAAAAACATGGTTTAGTAAACAATACTGGCTGGAGCCTCCTTTAAAAATAGCTTAAAAAATCGATCTCAAAAATCACTCATCCCCTGGTTTGCCACCCTTAGCAGTGGAATATTTTCTTCAAATTGAAATGGGACTACATCTGAGCTACCCTCTTTCCAATAAAAAAGAATCATCAGAATCGGTTCACAAATGCCGGGAGTTATCGCGTAACATACACACTAGTTACATACGCACAACGCCACCAATGTGACGTTCTTAGGATTAATTATAGATCAAAAATTAAGTTGGAAGGAGCAAATGGACAAAGTGTGTAATAAAATAAATAGTTTTGCGTTTGCTCTTTACAAATTATCTAAGGTGGTGAATAAAGACACGGCCGTGACAGCTTATTTTGCGTATGTGGAATCTGTCCTTAGATACGGTCTCATTATCTGGGGTAACGGCACTGAATTTGGGAAGGTTTTTGTTGCCCAAAAGAGGTGTATACGTGCCATCTGCAATGTAGCGCCATATGTCTCTTGTCGACCATATTTCAAAACGCTAAGAATATTGCCACTCCCGTGCCTGTATATTCTGGAGGTTGGTATATTTGTAAAAATAAATCAATCAAAATTCATAATAGCGAAAAACATAACTGATAGAAACCTAAGAAACCCAAATAAAATAATACTAGACACAATACCAAAGACGAAACGCTTTCAAAAGAATTCTTATGCTATGTGTGGAAAAATTTTTAATCGGATACCGGATCGTTTTAAACACCTTCCATTGGTCAGTTTTAAAAAAGAACTGCGTAAGTGGCTTTTAGATCACTTGTTCTATTCAGTGGAAGAGTTCATGATTTATAAAGAAGTTGATTGATGCATACATTATTCATTTATCTAATTTATATTCAATTATGACATCTAATATTATGACATACCCTGTATCAATTGATTTAATTTAGTAATGTATTGCCTTATTGTTTACTATTAATATTCTGCATGCTTTTGTTTTAGGCTAAATAGGATTAAGTTCAAATTAAATTTTACCATCAACATTTATAATGTACCCTACCCTATTTAAAGCGAATAAATGAATTTATTATTATTATTATTATTATTATTATACTAAAAAACATACAGTCTAATTGAGAAACTTCTCTTTTTTTGAAGTCGGTTAAAAATTAAAGCATTTTATTGGTAATCTACATGCTCCATTTGTATCGCCGAACGCACGCACGCACTAACACACGCACTAACGCACGCACACACGTACGCACGCATACACGCTCGCACGCACGCATGCATGCACCCACGCACGCATGTAGTCACGCACGCACGCACACACTCAACATAACCCGTTTTACTTATTATTACCTTTCTTAGCTTGCATTAGTAGATGTATCATGTCAGGTCGAATGGTCTGCTGCAACTCCCTGCTCTCCATCGTCTCCGATATCAACTTTCGGAAGAATTCCTGCTGCGACTTCATGAACAGAGTCAATTTAAATATCTAAAATATAATGAAATATATTTAATGTACTTTAAATAAATAATTCAATTAGTTTAAGCAACTTCGCATTAAAAAGATAAGTAGTGAGTGTTGTTAGAGACTATATTTTAGCAAAAAAAGTGCTCTAAAGTCAAGTTTGGGATTATCAATCATGAATAGAGAATGGTTATAATGACACAATTGACACACACGAAATTTATTGCTATGTAGTATCTGTAACATATTTAGCAAGCTTACTCATGCGGAACTTAATTTGATTTTGATTAAAAAAGGGATACCAAGTTATTTTATTTTATTACACAGACACTTAAAATGTCATTAGAGTAGGAATGTAATTGTGGAAATATATCACATGAATCAAATAATTTACACACACTCACTTATATACATTGACACCTGTACATGCACTCGCAGGTATAGGTACACGAACACACATCCAGACACACGCACACACAAACCCACCCTCGCACGCATGTACGCACGCACGCAAGCACGCACCCACGCACGCACGCACGCACGCACGAACGTAGGCAGGTACGCATGGACACACACACACACACACACACACACACTCTGTCTCGCACTCGTAATTGTTTTATATATTTGTTTCCTTTGTTTTTTCTTTACAATATACGAATATTCAATTCAAAATACATAAATGATACGTCTCTGTCGAAGTTGGTTTAAATTTAGTTCGAGGCTAGCGTTCTTAGCGTTTTAGTTGGGAGCCTAGAGGCCTAACATCTCTTGATCTAGTTTAGATTCCACTTTCCTACAAATTTTGTCACTATAGGAAGTAACATATTATTTTGATTTTGTGTGAACAAATAATCATAACCAAAAGAAGGATGGCGACATCCCGTGTATTTTGTGATCCAGTGTTTTTGATTATGTGCATTAAAGATACCTGTAAATAGTTGTGATTCATTATCAAGGCATCAAAAACCTAATTGAGTACAGCCTGCAGAAGCTGGGGCCATATAGTTGATGTAGGTTATGTTTATTACATCGTCCAGCATTCCGCTTTAGGTGTTCGTAAGTAGTAAAATATACAATAATATATTGATAACTAGGTATAAACTGAAACATAAAATTATACTAACACAGTCCATGAACTGCTCTACATTATTGCTAAAAACATCGCTAAAAAACCGCCGGATATAACTTTAAAGGTACTTACTTTAGCAATCTTCGGACAGAGCAACAACACTAAAACTACTAACTTCTGACGAATGTTGAAACTCAAAATAGATTTTCCCATTTCGTAAAACTGGTTGTTCTTCTCCATGTGAGAATTCACCTTCAGGCCAAAAGCACAAGATGCAATCACGTCATTTGCGTACCTAGTCGTTAGGTCTTTTACGTCAATGTCCAAATAAACCTCTGTAAATAAAAGGAAATATTAAAATCGGATGTTACAGAAAAGATCAATGATACTTTAGAACACCCCTGAAATGACGCTGAAATACCATTATTAAATAAAGTTTCTTTATTTTGCGACTCGATCCGTGAAGGCGCTGACTGTATCCAAATTTCAAAGATCGAAAGAAATAGCGTACTTGGGAAATGAATATTTTTTATATGTATGTATATATTTCAGATGGGTGAAGTATTTGACTACACGAGAAGATGGAGGATGAACCAAAGCACTCACCGAATGGTGGTCAAGAGGAGTAAAAAGGCATGTGGGCAGCCCGATGGTCTGAATAAGTCGTCAGATTTGCGGGATCACACTGGATGCGGATGGCTCAGGAACGTAAAAGTTGGCGCAATAAAGAAGAGGCCTATACCCAGCAGTAGGTCGAAGTTGGATAACTATGATGATGATAAAGATGATATTTCAAACAAACCAACGTGTTGGGTCCTTTATAGGTTCTCCATGGTTGTTACCATTAACTGATTAATATGATAGCGTACTTTAGTTTCTGAGACCAAGATCCAATCGGGTCGCTGAGTCAGCGAAGTCATTTATTTTTTGTTACTATACCTAAGTATAATTTGCGTTGCACTGACAACAGAGTTACATGTCGTTGTGGGACGCCACGCAGAGGTCCCAGGTTCGATTCCCGGGCCGGAAGAAATATCTGTATGCCCTACGTTAATTTCTCTCGTAAGTTTGGGTGTAACTTGTGGTTGTCTATGTGTGTATCCATGGCACCCGCGACACAAGGTTTCTCTAGTGCGGGGCTATGTTGTGTGTATGCGTTATTATTATTATTATTAAAATTACTATATGGATGCAATTATACATTATGTGGATGGTTTATCTACCAGTCATTTCGCACCAATTATCGCAACTTATTAAGGAATTAACATTCTCAGATCAAATTGAGTGTGTTATTAAAAAAGCTGGAAGGCGTCGTAGTGGGAATATAAAAGGGCCTATATGAAAAGATTGATGATTGTAAGTGAAGTAAGACAGGATTGTCAGGATCGTACAAGGGGCAATCAATAGTATCTGCCTACCTCAATGGGAATCCAAGGGTATGATTAGGTGTAAGTACCGTACATAACCTGTAAATATTCTATAGTGAATGAAGTTAAAAACAACTAGAGCTCCATGTGAATGAGTTCTTTCAGGGCAATACTGCCATCATATTTACCTATTTCTGCCGCCAAGCAGTAATGTGAGCACTACTGCGTTCCGGTTTTGAAGGGTAAGGGTGCTGGCGAAATTACAGGCACATAGAATTTTTCAACTTATGGTAATGGGCGCAGTGGCAGTGCCCCTAAATCTTTGCGATTTAAAGGTCTGAGTGTGTCGCTTACCAACAGGCGCACAACTTGTGCCTCCCATCAAAATTAATTGTCCCTCTCATTAAAATTATAAAAAACAATCACCAATATCCCCTTACGATCAGATTCCTTGATTTTCTTCTTAAGCGAGTAGATCATCTGATTTCCAACCTCTACCATCAGTGGGAGCATCATTTTCATTTTTGAGCTAGTGAAAGCTGGGCTGAGTGTCGACCGCATGTCTTTCCATTCTTGACCTGGTGAAAACGAGTTTTTTACACTGAAAGTGATATATTTGCACGGATTCGTTCGACACTAAAAAGTTGTTCATTTGTCGCTTTTAAATAACACTGGAACTCATTACCACTGTACAATAAGGCAAGTAGACCAACTCCCGCCTGTTCGGTGCATCAATGTCTACACATCGCTCGGAGACGTAGTCACATACTGAGCGAACTCTTCAATTCCATATGCGCCGATTCGTATGAGTGAGCTCACGAAACAGGCGAGTCCAGGCGGCCTAGCTCTTACCGAAGCGCGTGGCGGCGCGTATTCGGGTTTGTATCGACAGCATAGGCCGCGCTTTCGCACCTTCGGCGTTACTGACTAGCGTCGTTTCTTAACAAGCCGCCACGGGCGACACTCGGGCGGCCTTCTTCCCACAAAATGGCCCGGTCACAATGACCGGTATCTCATCTACCTATTGGGCCGTGGGGGGTTAAAATGACCGGCACGACGCACTTAACTTTGCGATGCTCGTTCACGCCGCAGGTGGCAAACGCTATGTATTTAGCCATATAACATGACCGGCGTGGTTCTGACGAACGGCTGTTACTAGTTGGTTTTTAGGATTTTTCATGGCATACGTACTTTTCTAGACTAAGAGGAAAAAATATTTATATTTCGAATAAAAAAAAAATTACTTTAATTTCCGATTGGATTTAAAAGTTACAAACTAAGCAAAAAATGGTTAATGTGGAATATCAATCTCAAATGAAAGACCTACGTCAGTTTTAGGTAAACATCGATCGAACATTATGTGTACATACTCTGCCCGGCATTGCAACCGCCGCGGCCTAAACGTAATAATTATTGCGTTTAGGCCGCGCCGGGTTGAAATGCCCGGCACTAAATATAATCCCAAACTAGAGCCAAATAATGAAATATCGCGAAAAAATTTATATACGTATACAATGAGACCAAATATAGTCATATAAGCCGTTGTCATATTTTGAAAATTCTAGTCGGCGAAGTACGTGTTAAATATTCTGTGATAAAAGTTACCTTTCAAAGCGAGGAGATTCCTCCCAAAGAGCGGGTCAGTATCCTTATTTATGATCCTATTGTGGTCGAGAAAGTGCTCAAAGTCCTCGATGGCAATTTTCTTGATCATCTTGATGTCTCTAACCACCAGAACCGGTGATGTGAACTTGAAGTACCCGTAGAACCTAACAATAATTCAACGAACAATTGACAAATCTGACTTTTAGTTATTTTCGTAAGTGAAGATGAATCATAATGTAGGGTACTTTTCAAAAATAATGATCCAAACCAAAATTATTTTTTTTTTATTATAACACAGTTCAATGGATTTCTAGAATAACGTCCTATTTGAAATACATCTATTTCATGGAAAAGACAGTTGGAAAACGTTTTTTTTTTGACGTTAGAAGATGGATTTTTTATTCAAGGTAAAGTTTCGCTTGCTCTGCTCGTCGCTGTGTGCTTAGTTCAAAATCGTCGTATTCTGGAATACTGCGTTATTGTATAAAAGTACCGATATGCTGGCGCGATGCCTAACTGGCTAAAAAAGTGGTGGCCTAACTACTACTCCGTAATGTATGTACATGTGCTAGTTTTTAAAGCTGTCTTATTCACAATAAAATTTAGGACATTCGGAATACCACGGTGAGATGAATTAATATATTTGGTTTCGATCACTAATAAAATAAAATAAAATAAAATCTTTTATTTCGGACCACAGTAATCCATAAAAATTAGTAGGTTAGTAACATAACAACTTATAACTATGTTAGTTATTAGGGTTAGTACAATTACATAACTAAAATTAATAAAATGAGACGGGCCCGGCTGTCCAAGCGGCTCACCGATTCGCACGCAGTACATGCAATTCGGTGAACCTCTGGAAAACTGCTGCATCCATCCTGTTTGCAATTAGCTTTAGGATCTTGTTATTGCTTCCCCTCACCCTTTGTACCACCGCTGCAGACATTTTGCGCATGATGGCATTAAAATCTTTAACAGCAGCATCCGCAAACATGCCAGATGCGCTGCAGAAACGTGGAAGCCTCAACAAGACCCTAAAGGTATTATTATATTGGATTCGCAAGGCACCGTACGATCTCTGCGTGAAATTAGACCACAGAGCACACGTGTAGAAACTTTGGCAGTGTGCTCTGAAGAGCGTAAGTTTCACTCCAATTGTACATCGCGTGAATCTGTGAGCCAACATATTGCCTCGAACCGATAACTAAGTCAATAATAATCTTTATTTCATAGGTAAGCAAATTACACTAGAAATCGTGATACTGATTTAACTCTACTGCTCATTCGTAAGGTAGATCCTGAGAAGAATGAGCAAGAAACTCTAGGGGTTGTTCTTTGTAAATATACATTTGAATACATTTATCATTACAATATTTAATTTAAGCATCTTAAATCGAGAATGCCTCAAAGAGCTAAGCGGATCACTGTCACGGTTTTTGTCATCCAAGTACGCAGAAGTTAAACCTTGTAAATGGCTAATTTTGAATATCAATCGGAATGTTACTATAAAAACGTATATATTGCCACTTAAATGAATTTGAGACTATATGAAGACGACTGTCAATAATAGCTAGTTTACTTTTATTCCTCGTATTAATGTTTGTCACTATTTTTCATAAATAAAATATTATTATTCTTAACATAAGTAACATTTTTATAAATGTACTGTGACGTTAGTGTAAGAATGTTAATTTATTTAAACTTGTCTTTCAAAGATACTCTGGGGCCCAGATTGTAAATTGCCCTAACCGCACCTTTCTGCAGGAGAAAGACTCTATTAATATTGGCGGCATTGCCCCAAAGCAAGATACCATATGTCATTAAACTGTGAAAGTAGCTGAAGTAAACCAATCTGGTTGTTTCGACGTCTGAAAGTTTTGTATTTTTTTTATCGCGTACACTGCAGAGCTGAGCCGTTTTGATAACTTATTTAAGTATATGTGGACCCCATTGAAATTTAGCATCTCAAGTTATACCTAAAAATACTACTGTATCTAACTAAAATGTTTGTGCCCGTCTGTCGAACATTGGGTAATTTAATTTTACACAATTTGTTTTTTTCTCATTATGGAGCAGATTATTAACTGCAAACGAATTTCTTATATATCGACACATCCGTAGAACAAAGGTCTATGTGCTAGGCTACTTATTATCAGGACATAGTACATTTCGTTCGTTCTTCTTCGCTGTGAATGTCAGATCGACTGTTGTTCAATTTTATAATTTCCGAAACGAAACAAGATATATAAATTCTCAAAACATCTTTACGTAGGCCTTAGTTTGAATAATGAAATTATTCTGTAACGTACTTATTCTCTTTTCGCTATATAATCACATCGGACTCCGTTCTTCGGATAAGTCGATATAGCACACTATTCTTGTAAAGTAACGGACTGTACGTTTGTGGGTAAGTATACAATTCATTCGCTTTGTGTTTCGATCATAAATATTGGCAGAAGCATGGTATCCGATCAAATTAAGGCATAAAATCGACGCTCATTCGCTTGTTGACTATGCGCGTAGTATTATTTCTTAATTTTCTTTTTAATTTAAGGCTTTTTAATCGATTTTTTTAGTCTTTTTTATTAATTAACACCGTATTTAATTTACGCATCTATCCGTTTTACTCTTGTGAGCCCCGTTCATAAGCGACATGAAATGGTACTACTGCCTCAGAATTAACTTTAAAATGTTATTTTTGTTATGTTTATGGATTAAGAACCTCCTCCTTTATTGAAGTCGGTTAAAAATACGAGTTGTTTGCTCTTCATCTATACAAAATTTTATCGAAAAAATAGACTATCTGGGAAACTCAAGGGCCGTTAGTTACCCAGTTACCTTGTCCAACGCATTATTTGAAAAATTAGTTATTTTAGTGTCGTTGTGTTTTTTCTTTATTGGAGTAAGCCATAATTGTGTAAAATCTCAGGACCAAAAATCACGACTTCATCATCCGACATTTCTACTGCGAATGCGGACACGGTCGACCATAGAGTTCGAAACGAGCTACCGGTCAGTCGTAAAATAATGGTACGTTACGATAAAATATTGTTATGATAACATTTGTTGGTTATTTATTACTTTTGTACTTACCTTTGGTTAGAATACTTGTTATAAAGCATAATCAATTCATCAGTAACATGCCATCTCTGTAACACAATGTTCAGTGCATTGCCGACTAGTGGGATGACGGGGGGTGTCTTCACACCTCGCCGTTTGAATGTACCATAGACCTGCCGTAAATGCAGAACTAGTGCGACAAGTAAGCAACCCAGCCATATCCACACCAGCATCTGAAAAAAAATTCCCAAAAATTTTTAAATATATTTTAAAGAAGTTTAAACTATCGAGTTTTTATGTCGTAGAGCTCCTTGTGAAAGGGTTCGCCCAGGGTAGTACTCCCACTTTAACTATTTCTGCCGCCAAGCAGTAATGTCAGCATTACTGTGTTCCGTCATTGAAGAGTAAGGGAGGTGGTGAAATTCAAGGCATATGGAACTTGTCAACTTATGTCTCAGGGTGACTGGTACAGTGGCAGTGCCCCTCAGATGTTTGCGATTTAACCGCTCACGCGATACATGCAACCGTAGACGCATACCACACCTAGAGGTGCCGGTGATGATTTTATACAGATTTATCGGATATCGGGTTACAACAGGTAAAAGAACTAATATTAATTGCTATTTCGGTAACTACTTTAGCAAACCATAAAATTTTTAATGACTGGGTCTGTCATTTAAAAAAAATAAACAACTTCAAAAATACGTCACGATAATCGAGTGTTTTATTGTTTGGGCTGGTGATTTCGGTGTTTATTTATTGAAAACATACCGTAAGTAGCGTTTTTTAAGTTTACCCTGAATATAAATGATTATAAACTCTACTTTAAGGAGTAATTTCATGGTAAATGTTAGAACCTTTCAAAACGGAATATTATCATATTTATCCAAGTACACCAAAAATTTCATTAGTGCTTTTTAAGTGCAGGATTTGCGGTGTATTACTGCATTTTATTTGAGATGTTTTTGTTGGTTGTACGGAGGGTATTTATTTAGCAATGCAGAATAATAATTTTTATTTATAAAAACTTGTATTTAAACTGAATGCTTTTCTAATTTGCGAAACCAAATAGCCGCCATTTTGCGGTAGGAGGAGCGCATCGCGTGAGCGGATAGAGCTCTGAGAGGCACTGCAATTGTTATGCACAGGCGGGTAACTTACAATCAGGCGCAAGACTTGTTCGTCCCGTCATTTGATATTGTAAAAAATAATAATAGTAATTTATCAACACAAAGAACAAATCCTTCGATCTGAATGAATTCGAACCTGCATCAGTTATGCCAATCTAGGACAACAGTTATGGTTTTGTTTAGACACAATTTCGTTTAATTTTATAGGAAAACTGCACATGCACTTATCAACTTATGTCTCAGGGTAATGGGCGTAGGGGTAGTACCCCTCAGATCTTTGCAATTAAAGCTCTGAGTGGCACTGTAACTGTTATGGACAGGCGTGTAGCTTATCGTCAGGCGCACGACTTCTTCGTCCCGTTACTTGATGGTATAATAATCTCAGAACAGAGTACTAAAAAAACCGACCTCAAAAGTACGTGTAATTATATCTTTTTGCCAAGTTTTATTGAAATATCCATTAGTTCGCCCCTATACAGGACTTGACACAGGAGATAATAAAAGTCGGTTCTCACTACTCAAAGTATATTGAGAGAAAAACGCCTTGAATTGGAGAAATAGCAAAATCAATCATTAAAATAATTGCTCCTTAAGTAACATTTAGGCGCTATTCATAAAAATGAGTCTTCGTACGTAAAAAAAATCATCCACCCTTAGAGGTGGATGATTTTCTTCAGAATGAAATGGGACCACTATGGAAGTACCCCCTTTCCAACAAAAAAGAATCATGAAAATCGGTTCACAAATGCCGGAGTTATCGCGTAACATACATACAAAAAATACCAAAAAACATACATTGGAATTGAGAACCTCCTCCTTTTTTGAAGTCGGTTAAAAAATAAGCTTAGATTAGCTCATGTAGTTACATGCACAGCTACGCTAAGAAAATACGTAGTAATTAGTGACGTGACACTATGGCTATGACTATATAGTCATATATATATATAATATGTAATATATATATATATATATATATACGTGCGGGGGTGAAGGGCGGCAGAAGGGCGACATATTTTAAATAGCTTAGCGGGATCGTTGGGTTAGTTTGGTTAGCTCGGTTTCGACTCAGGTACTGTCCCGGGGCGGAGTGGCGTTGGCGGTAAGCCTAGATATCGTCAACGCCTTCAACTCCTTGCCCTGGTTGACCGTTAAGGAGGCGCTCGAGTATCATCGAGTGCCTCCGTACCTGAAGCAAGTTGTCAGGTCCTACCTATGCGACAGGTACATTACGTACCCGGGTCGGGACGGCGCAAGCCATCGCAGAGAGGTCGTGTGTGGGGTTCCGCAGGGGTCTGTCCTTGGACCACTCCTTTGGAACCTAGCATACGATGCTGTCTTGAGGGTCGCACTCCCCCGGGCGTGCATCTGGTGTGTTATGCTGATGACACCCTGGTGCTCGCCGGAGGGGAGGACTTCGAGAGGACCATCCGGCTCGCTGAGCTCGGGGTTTCTCGCGTCGTTGAAAAAATCAAGGAGCTGGGTTTGCGAGTAGCGCCTCAGAAAACTGAGGCGCTGTGGTTCCACAAACTCCCGCGAGTGAGGGAACCGCCCAGCTTCTCGATTCGCGTTGGTGACGTCGACGTCCAGGTGGGGCAGTACTTAAAATACTTGGGCCTCATCTTGGACGGTCGCTGGGATTTCGAGGAGCACTTCCGGCGCCTGGTACCCCGGATTGATAGGGTGGCGGGTGCATTGCACCGATTGCTGCCCAACCTGGGGGGCCCTTCGGAGGGAGTTCGCCGTTTATACGGTGGGGTGGTGCGATCCGTGGCCCTATATGGGGCACCCGTCTGGTCACACCGACTGACGGGCGTCCGGCGTTGCAGAGCCATGCTCAATGGCGTGCAGCGCCGCATGGCCATAAGGATCGCACGAGGATACCGCACCGTATCCTTTGACGCGGCGACTGTCCTGGCGCGGTTTCCCCCGCTGGACATTCTGGCGGAGATGGACGCGCGTATTTACATGCGCCTCCGCCAGGCGGAAGAAGCTGCGCCGCCGGAAGTGCGGTGGCAGGAGCGCCGACGGGCGTTCGAGAAGTGGCGCGAGAGGCTGGAACAGCCGTGGATCTCGCGCCAGCGCGCCGTCGGCGCGATCCTGCCCAACCTTGAAGTCTGGTTGAGCCAGCGAAAGTGTATCACCACGTTCCGACTGACACAGATACTCACCGGGCACGGATGCTTCGGTGAGTATCTGAATCGGATCGGACGCGAGTCGACGACGCAGTGCCACCACTGTGGGAGGGACCAGGATTCCGCCCAGCACACGCTGGAGTGTCCCATGAGACAGTGGTCTCCTTCTGTGAAGCGGTGATGCTTCAGAAGGAGGTCGCCGAGCGTGATCGGGAGAGGGCCGATCCCGCTCGGCGGCGGCGTACCTTCGCGGCTGCGGGCGATCGGAGCGGGGGCTCCGTTCGCCAGTAAGTTAGGCAGCCGCGAGGAGGACGACGGGGCGGTGTGGCCCGCTTGGTCGTGAGGAGAGGAGGGGAGGACGTAGCTCCTCCTAGGTGCTGGGGGGGTTCCGGTGCGCAAAGCCGATCCCGGATCCTTCCCACTAGAGCACCCGAGAAGGCCACCGTGGGGTTTTAGCCGGTAGAAGTCCCGCTGTCCCCGCGGCGGAGAGGTATTCTAGGAGGATTTCCCCCACGCAAAAAAAAAAAAAGTTTGGTTAGCTCGGTTAGCTTAGTTCGCGGTGTGAACGGAAGTATGCAGCTCGCAGCGTGACCTAAGCTACTCGTAAGTTATCTTAGCTTCGTTCGGGGTGTGGCGCTCGACTGACCAATGGTCATTGTCATCAAAATAAGGAAAATAGTCCAGGTATAAAACAATCGTTCGAGACCATGGACGTTGCAACGCGTCCGAAACGTCGAGGTAAATAAAATATTTATGTTTGTACACAGTTAAGTCCATATTTTAAAATAAAAGAATTTGTGAAAATCGTGAAAGTTAACCTTTTGTTTTTTCAAACAAACCACGGTTTCGAGCTTTTTACGAGTTCCATAGACACGGCTAATTAATTTTAATCAGCCGTGTCTATGGGTCGGGAGTTTTTTCAACTCATTACCGACCATGGTTGTAATGAGAAGACAGGAGACACGAAGATTTTATTTGGGGCATTGTAGTCAAGTTATGTGCATGCAATCATACTATTTACGTGCGAGTGTGATGAAAAACATTGTATATTTCACGGGCGGTATTGGAATTACGAACCTCGCGTACGATAGCCGTCAGTCTTCGTTTTCGAGCTTTTATTAGAGTCTTGTTCGTAATTCCTTGTTTACCGCCCTTAATGCGCAATATACTGTTTCACCTCACTAGCTCGGAAAGGCTTTCTTTCTCATTAGAATCTGTGCGCGAAAGCGATTTTTCCACGTTAGCGTGGAAAAGGTTTCTGAAATTCAGACTTGACAATGGACTGTTGTACTGTTGTTGCACCTAACTTTTTCTGCCGATGAAAACAAAAAAACATAATGACACGCTCAACTACGCTATTTGTCGTACATTATTTATGTAATATAAATCCGTTGATATATTTTATTCTTATTATTATTGACATTAAATTGACAATACCTAATTTTGATTATTAAATTATTTATTATATATTTATTATTATAGTGGGTGGATGACCTAACCCCTCACCCATAACCCACTACCTAACCCACCCCCTAACCGACCCCCTAACCGACCTCTGACCGAACCCCTGATCGACCCCCTGACCGACCCCGTGACCGAGCTCCTGGCCGACCTCCTGACCGACCCCCTAACCCTTTACCCTTACGACCATATTCTGAACTCGATCACAAGAGACTTCCAACTGTAAGTGATGTTATTAAATTTATATTATTGAAAAGGCACGAATTAAAAGACAAATGTAACGGGAAACAACCTTCGCATAGTGAGGTTTTTACGTTAGTAAGTTAAGAAATCGAATGTGTTTGGAAAAAAGCTTCAATTCCTACAGTTTCTCAGGAACGCGTGAAAGAAATGTTAAAATTACATTTCGATAAATATCTTTCATTTATAAGGTACCCCAATTCCAATAAAATATATTCCAATAATATTTTTATAATTTCCTGCTCGAATACTTTATTTGACATAGCTTCATGCAAATGTGAAGATAAATGTACTTGTTTGAAAGAAAGAAAGGTTCCTCTAAAAGAAATTCCATTCCTGAAAGATCAAAGAGGTGAAAGAAAAATGATTATTGGTGGTATTGATAGAGCAGAAACTATTAAACTTCAAAATAAGGACTTTAAAAAATTACAGAGATTTAGCTCCGACCCATCGATGTCAGCTATTGAAAAAAACGACGATGGCTTAACACGACGAATGTTGAATAGAGATTCTGCAGAAATCCGCGGCAATGCAATAACTGCTCCTTCCACTTCACAAAAAAATTATAACCAGTTATCGCTTCCAACAGTCGCGACAGTCTGTGACCGATTCGGACTCTCCTCACGATCTGCAGCTGCCATCACCTCAGCCGTCTTAGTAGATGTTGGAATAGTCACAGAAACGTATCGACGTTTAATTATAGATAAAAACAAAATACGACGAGCAATATCAAAGTCTAGAAAAGAAATGCAGGATGATTTAGATCAAACCACAATTAATAGTTTATATTTTGATGGGAGAAAAGATAAAACTTTAGTATCAGAAAAGAAAGGAAATCGGTTACATCGTAAAGAAATTACGAAGGAACATATCTATTTTGACCGAACCGGGGTCCCATTATGTCGGACACGTTACACCAAGAAAGGGGACAGGAATTGAGATAGCTCAATCACAGATTTTTTGAATTCAAAGGAATATGACATAGAAAATATAGAGTGCATTGGCTGTGACGGTACTGCAACTAATACAGGCTGGAAAGGCGGTGTAATTCAGCATATTGAAAAACAACTGAAAAGACCTTTACAATAGGTTGTGAGTTTACTTCACGCTAATGAGCTGCCATTAAGACACCTTTTTATAGCGCTAGATGGTTCAATTTCTGGTCCTCGTGAGTTTTCTGGTCCAATAGGCAAAAATCTAGCTGACTGTGAAAAAAATGATGTCGTGGATTATTTGCCAGTATCTGGAAATATTCCACAGATTGAGAATGACGTGATCAAAGGTTTAAGCACCGATCAAAAATACCTTTACGAGATTTGTCAGTCAGTTGCTTCTGGATTTATCTCACCAGAACTAGCAAATCGTCAACCAGGGAAGATCGCACATTCCAGGTGGCTTACGTTTGCCAACCGTATTCTCAGACTATATATAAGTACAAGGGTTCCAGCTGAAAATCTGGAAAATATTGTTAACTACATAATGAAAGTCTATGCACCAGTTTGGTTTTTTATTAAGGCTCAACCAACATCGTGAAAAATGGAGCGCATCATTTTTTTAAATTGATTAAGTTTTCCAGAGATTTACCTGAAAATATAAGAGCTGTCATTGATCCAGTGATACAAAGAAATGCTTTTTTTTGCCATCCAGAAAACTTGCTGTTTACTATGTTGTATGACTCGAAAGATTATGTGCGTCAACTTGCTGTAGCGCGAATCATAAAAGCTAGACTTTCGAATGCTACCTGCCATGCTCAAATCCGGATTTTCAAACCGCCAAATATAAACTTTTTGGCCGAAAATTATATTGACCTGTCATTATGGCAAAGTATTGTAATCACACCACCACCAATTCTTAATAAACATAGTAATGACGAATTAAAAGATATGGCAAGAAACAATCAAATGCCTCAGTACTTTTATCCTTGCCACATTCAAGCCGTCGAAAGATCGGTAAAACTGGTTACTGAAGCATCTCAACGTGTCATTGGAGAGACTGCTAGAGATGGTTTAATCAAGAATACAAGTCGAGGTCAGTAATGCCTCAATACGACAACAAAAGTCAATTTAAATGTGGTGAAAAGTAGACCACAAAAAGTTAGATTTTGCGTAACTTTAAGAGTTTAATTTTATTGTTTAAATATGGAAATTCAAAATAAATTATAATTATTCATGAAGATTATATATAACGTGAAAAACATCTTTAAAAAGTCATAAAAAAAATATAAAAAAAATCTGAAAAATTTGTAAAAAATCATAAAATATGCATTCTTTGACTGCTGGTAGAGGGCTAAAGATTAAATATTTTTCAACATTTGATTAATAGAATCTACGTAATTTGCTGCAACTTTTCACACCTCTTGCGTAACGAAACTCGAAAAAAAATATGTTTCCATACATAATCGGCCCACCCTAACATCCACCAAAAGTCGTATTACAAAAATTGAAGACTACGGGTCGTATTCCAGAACTCTACTCAATACTCAAGTCAGGACTTGAGTATTGCAGTGAGCACTGAAAATCATACTCAAGTCCTTGCCATTAGAGTCGTATTTCCAGTGCTTGAAATCATACTCAAGTCTGCGCAAGTCCTGACTTGAGCATTGAGTAGAATTCTGGAATACGACCCAAAGTGTCATATAAAGATGTATGGAAAGACGACAAGGCGCTAGATTCCATACAAATTTGATTCAAACTGTATTCCATAGCATTTAAGTTTATTTGAAAAGAGCAATAGAGTTTTTTGCTCGTTCTTCTCAGGGAAGTCAGCGTAGTGCTTAGAATATGGAAACTAAAGGACATGTTACGTTGACATATATAAATCAGACGTCATATGTATATGATGTATTTCGACGTCGACAACATAAACATGTTATTGTCTTTGTTTAACTATTACGTGCCGTCTTAAGCCAAAAGAGATAGCGTTACATTGGTCTGTGTCAAACACGGGAATCGAAAATACATAACGTCATCTTAAATGCCAACCGTGTCCATTTCGCAGTAAATTCAATTCAATTCAATTCAAATATTTATTTCAGATAAAATCCATATAGAGTTAGTAAACCAAACAACTTAAGAACTAGTGTTAGTATTAATATTAATATAATTTAAAAGACTAATTATACATTTAAGATAGTGTGGAGCTCTATCCACCTACGCAGGAGTGGCGAGTCCCACCGATCTTTAAACACACACAGGATGCCGTTGGAGCTATCACGGAGGCGCCTTAGCGCAGATGCACACCTTTTCCTCATGATGGCCATGAAACCGTCCATCTGAGCCTCGGCAAACATTCCCGATGCACTACACCTCCACGGAAGCCCCATCAGCACCCTGAATGAATGAAATGAAATGAATAAATGAGGTACATGATACCGTTGTCAAAAGGGAAGTACATCAAATGTCAAAATAAATGTTTTTTCAAATGTACTATTGAATTATTCGCATGTATTATAATTGAATAGGACAAAAATAATAAGAGTGAGAATAATTAGGTATTAATAAAAATGCGACGCTGCAGTATTAAGGGATGTGGCTTTAGAAAAAGTGCAAATCAATGGAATGTTATATTGCACAGGCATGTGTTATTTTTTTGTCTATAAATCACACAATAGCCCAAATATTTCATGTAATTAGACTTGTTTAAGTAGTTTATTTATAAATCTTGCCAAATTTTGCTTTTGTTACTTTAGATTGCCTGTTTGTTTGTATATTTTGATGATTGTTGTTAACGATTATTTTGTGATAGTGTTGATCTTTTAAGCATACATATTATCGATATTCTGTTATTAAAACTATTCACTACGAGGTTTTTATTGTTTTATTATTATTATTTTTATTATTTCAAGTTTTCCTACAAGTGAAAAAAGGAAAAAAGAATGGTTGAAAATCATAAGACTGCCGAATATAAACGTTGGATCAAAGACCATCTTCATTTGTTCGCTTCATTTTGGAGAGTCAAATTTTAACAGAAATTTGTAACTAGATTACATGACAACGCTATTTCATCATTAGGTTTATTGATAAATAATTTTATGTTCAATTTAGATTAAACAAGGCTCATTTACTAGTTATTCTCAGTTCCTGAAAACAAAATTATCCACTCGTTTCTGATTTTTCCCAATGACAACTCTTAACTACTAAAAAATACTATTTTTTTAAAGCCTGCGATACAATGACATGTTTTTCCAACGTTGCCGGGTAAAGGTCAAACCAACGTATAGACAGCCTATTTGCCTTGCCTTGCCATCGTTCGGTTTAATAATCATATACCACTCGAGATTAAATTATTAGACTTGTGTTTGTTTAGGCATACTTTATTTACAGTAAACTAAAGAAACAAAAACAAAACAGTTTCAACATTCAAGCCATATATTTGCATGTCGATAATGACTTATCGATAGATTATGGTACAACACTAAAGAAATCCGCCATTTGTAACTTTCAAATTTTGGTTATAAGCACGTCGATTCTGTAGTTAGGGCAGCTGCTTTCTTTTAATTTTTTTCCATCCTCTAAAGCGTAGTGACATAATGTAAATGTGACGTTTTCAAGTGTACATTTATTTTATCTATGAAATAAATGATACTTTGACTTTGTCGAACAATAACTTTGCAGCCTCGCATAACAAATAACTATTACTCGTCAATGATCAACCTGACGCAGACAGCGCACACCTCGGCGCGCGAATGAAAATCGCAATTAGAATTACGACGAGCTCATACAGGGATGTGGGTGTGCGGGAGGAATACAACTGAGGCAATGCGATAACAGAGAACAAAAAAGTAAGCGATGATTCACCGCAACCTCCGTGTTGTCGGACAATGACAATTACTTTTTTGTTTTACCGATTGCTCTCCATACATACACATATTTTTTGAACTGATAGCATAATGTTGACACTACCATAGAACGCGCTAATATAATATGTCAATACGCGCCGATGAGTTTTGACTACATCTTATCTCAAACAAAAACTGTCTGAAAATTATCAAATTTCTAATATAATTAAAACTATATAAAATTAAACAAAAAGCACATAGAAATACATAAAAATAAAAATTTACCTTATTAGTATGTATTCACATTCGTATGAAAAAAATACACAAACTGTTAGGTTTCGCGATGACACGCCTATGTATCGTAAACGACCGGTGTGCGCGTGCGCCTGGTCTGTACTACCTTTGCAACATCCGTGAGTACCCTTGGAAATGATAATGGCAGATAAATACTACAGATTGATGTCCCACCAAAAATACGATAACGTATCATAAAACAGATGTAGCGAATGACATTGAACATAGTGAAATTTCGGAAACCACGACTGATGTACCACGTCTATAATTATCGTATTATTGACTGATGTAATTATAACAATTAAATAGGAAACTTTATGATTCATCGATTGTATAGATCGAAATAAGTAGTTAGTGTCATTCAACATTTTTTTCTTCATATCTTAGATAGGTACTTCTCGATGGAGGAATCATCACCAATCATCTCTTCCGCGTCCGAAATTAGGTAGTAAACGCAAGTTTAAGAATAACCGAAATATTTAATCGATACTTCAAATTTCATAAAATAATAAGCATTTTTAGAGCGCATAACGTTAACTTCAACCTATAAATTTTAATATAGAAATCTAGGTGGTGTTCGCGACTTCGTCTGCGTAGAAAGTAGTTCGTGTAGAGAACTTGTAGAGTACTTCCCTGGACGAACTCTTTCGTAAGAACCTGTACTGTTGCTAAAATATTGCGCAGGTTGTCCAACGTGACGCGCAAGCACTATCAACCTTTGTTTATCGAACCTATATTGCCGTCTTGTAATATTTCATAATGATTACAAGTTGCCGGAAAATGCGCATCAAATGTTGCGTAACAAGTGTCACCTAGTGAAAGCTTAGCTTTATAAATTACTTACCAATTAGTTGGTTGTGATAACAGATTTAACTTCCGGTAGATGTTTAATACACAATACGCTATTGCGTATTCCGCAGTCTTTGAAGGCAAAAGTCTTCGAGCAGTGCGTGTTGTCAGCGATGACCTACGGCTCTGGGACGTGGTCACTTACTATGGGCCTCATAAGAAAGATCAAAGTCACTCAATGAGCTGTGGAGCGAGCAATGCTCGGTATTTTTCTACGTGATCGAATCAGAAATGAGAAGATCCGATTAGCAAGTTGAAGTGGCAGCACGCCGGGCACATAGCTTGTAGAACTGACGGCCGTTGGGGCAGAAAGGTTCTCGAATGGATACCACATACCGGAAGTGCTCAGTTACACGAGGAGAAAGTTCTCGCGCGGCCGCCGCACGGCAACCGCTTAGTTACCACGCCTTCATGTACATTAATGACGAATCTGAATTCTATTTACTAGGCAACAACATTTAAATTCTTCTGAAGGAATCTACCGCGCGGTCACCGCGCGGGCCGCCACGGGCTCCGCTCGGTGCGGGCCGCCACGTAGACCAAATTCAAGTCAGGCTCGCCCGCGTGCCCGGAACGTTCATTTAAGTTAAAACAAATAGAGCGTATTTTGCCATTACAGTTAGACGCTGCGCGGCGGCAACGCGGACTCCGCTCTTCGACCGCGAGGCGGACGCGCGGGGGTGAGCGCGGTGAAATTCGTGTCGAATAAACGCGCCCGAAGGCGTTCAATGTGACGGCCCCCTACTAGATGAACAGATGACCTGGTAAGGGCGGCGGGTAATCGATGAACGCACGTTGCGTCCGACCGGCTAGCCTGGCAATCTTTGGGGGAGGCCTATGTTCAGCAGTGAAAGTCTTTCGGCTGATATGATATGATGATGAGATGTTTAATAAAGAACTAAACATTGAATACATTAAACATTTTATGAAATGAAAATGAAACGTGAAAGTTTAAAAGGAAATAGACATGGCCCTGGTCAAGGTTTTCTTTATTAAACTAGTTTGGTAAAGTCGTTGACATCCGTAATATATCTAAAACTGAAAAACACGAAATCACAAAATGTCAGTCCGAAGTAATCTTTCTTCGTCTTTCAGAAGGCCAGCCGTTTGCAGCATATTAAAACAGCAGTAATACTTTGGTCATCTAATTTGGTTGAGACAACATTTATTAAGGGAGCCACCACATTTCTATATGAAGCATTAGAGTCAGAAAAAGGGTTAGAGTGACAAAGATGTTGAGTGTTTTGTTTCAATTCAGACAACGTGATTCGACACAGGCTGGCAACGAGATTCCTGCCAAATTTCCTACCACATCTTTACGGTGTTGATGACTGAATACACTTAAAGACGTCCGAGTAGGTCCGACCCCTCTCTTCTCCTTCTGAGCCCAATTAACTCCGTCCGACAAGTTACAAGACGCATCTGCGGTGGTCGAAGACGGCCGACGGTTTAACTTTCACCTCCCGTCAATCGACGACCGAACAGCATGGCGTTGACAACCGGATGGCAACGTTAATGTGTAAATGGTGGCTTAGATGACTAACCGACTAAGTCCGACATGTGTAGTCAAGTCGATTTCTTGTCAATGAGTGTGGTAACTCTCCAAGAACATCAGGTTTTTATTTGTGCATATATACAAGGTATAATAATGATGTACCAAATATTTTAGTCATATATTCTATCTCTGAACCTGAACAATTAGCTGAATCATTCATTTCCATTTATAATCATTTCATGACAGTTATGGCGTGTAATTATTGGTTTGTTTGTTTTGGAAAATGTTTCACTTTCTATTCTAAATCATACTACGTTTAAACGTCCCGACTGTTTAATTTTAGAAGTACAACACCTTTTGTACAGTCAATAGCCTGAACAAAGGTTGACATTTTGGACTTTGAATTTTATAGCAAGATACGTAGTGTCGAATTAAATCTTAAGTGTGAAGTGTGGTGTGGTCGTGACCCTGTACCGCATGATTCAATAATGACACGAGAATGACAGTGATACTAAGCGAACACATTTTAAATTTTGTTTTGTGCAGTAATTTCCAGAAAGTTATATGTATGTACGAGAGAGATAACGCTTTTGCTCAGTATGTGTACTGCGCAAAAATAATTTATTAAAACTTTACAAAAATTCAAGCTTTTTTTATGAGTACCTTTTTTATGAGTAACACCAAATAAACAATAACAGGTTTCAAATTTAAAAAAAAAGCACAATGAATGTTATGTTTTACAATTTTTTGAACGTTTGTATACATTTTCATTTAAACAGTTTTCCGAGTGTTAAATCGGGCCCAATGACCTCCCTTTATGGAAATTAGGAGCGAGTGAGGATCCAACTTAGCAGGTATAGTTGTTTGGTTCGATGGTGATACTTCGAAGGAGTTCAGGAGCTGATACAGTACAACTTTCACTTCGCAGAGGGCGAATCTGGAACCTGCAAAGCAAGCACGAGTTATTTTATACCTGATACAAGCATCACCATCATTTATTTATCAACCTATTTATTTAAATTCAACTCTCAGGCGAAGAAAATGACCACAGCCCGCCACGCTGACCCAATGTGCGCGAGGGACTTTACACGTTTGTGAACCTTCTGAACCTACTTCGACGTGCAGGTTTCATTACAATGTTTTCTTTCACTGAAAAGCTCATGGTAAATTTCAAATTATATTTCGTACATAAATTCAGAGAAATTGAACTCATGGCCTCTGCTTTAGAGGCGGTAGGTAGGTCAAACCATTAGGCTGTACGGTTACGTACAACATTAAACTTTGATTTACTGCATTGACACGATCTAGTTCTAGTTTTATTTTGCTGTAGTAAGATGTGTTAGTTCTAGTTATTTTCTTGACATGGTATATCGTATTATGAAATTTTATTGCATTTTTAAGATAGTTACCAACACCTAAACAATAAACATCAATAACATTTAACATTAATATTTAATATTTAACATTTTCATTTACGATTAAACAATATTCCTTTTAAACTTATAACATTTATTAATTCCATCAACTACTCCGAAAACACCCACGTGTCGTGATCACGAAGTAACATCCTGTAAAGACAAACTATTTTGCCTTTACAAAGACATTCATAATTAATTAATGATATCGTATTGTTAAGTGTAAAGGATTTAATGGTAACCAATTCAAACCACACGGGGCCAGTGTTAGTGCCAGCTTTGAGATAATTTCTACAGTTTATGATGACGTTTATGATATTACGACGGGACAGTGATAGCTTCTTTGGGAAGACGTTTACTTAGCTACACCAGCACATGAATTTAAATTCAGCCAATGAGTTATAAATCAGGTAAAGAGAAAATCCGTCAGATAATGTTTATAAACGTGTTACAAATAAGCATTATAACCAATAAAGTATAGACGGCGACCAATACAAGTAAAGTGCCAAAGATAGATATAGATAGGGACGTCGACATTTTCTTTCTTTCACGCAATCAGTTCCTTAACGCTTTGAAAGAGCATCCCCAAGTTATAAGTTATAAGTAACAACTAGACAGAGCAAAACTTCCCACTATCACCCCTCCACACACACACACACACAAACACACACAAGCCGCCATACAAACAAATTCAATTACACAATGATCTAATGATTGTAAAAGACAATTTAAAGTCGTATAATCTTGAAGAATAATATGATTGTTTTTTAATGTGAATTTTAGTTGAAAGATTTGGTATTTCATTTTTCTTTTCTCTTTTGTTTTTTCAAATCTTAGTATTAATTGAAAATTTGACTGTTGTATAACATCTGAGAAACAGCTTAAGTAACGTCAATATAAATGTTAAAAGGTCAAACTTTATAATTGGCTTTATAATTTTTTAATCTACAATTGTATAGAAGATGTAATAGCTGTTAAGTTTGCTTATAAATAAATAAATAAAATAAAATAGAATTCTTGATAGATAATGTGAAGACAATGAAAAAACATGCACGGTTTGACTATAACTTTTAAAATGATTATACTAGACTAAATAGCATTTGAAGTCCTAAGAATATTCGTGTATAGGTGACACGAATAAATTCTCACCGATGCAGTTTCTGGGTCCAAGTCCAAACGGCATGTAGGTATATGGCTGGATCTTGTGTTTGTTCTCTTCAGAAAACCTCTCAGGGTCGAAGTTATCAGGGTTCGGGTGGTACTTAGGGTTGCGGTGAATCGCCCATACCGGGATCGCAACAGCTTCGCCTTTGCGGATCTAATAAATGAAATAACAATGAAAAATCTAATTAGAAG